CCCGGCCCAAGCTCAGCGCCGGGGCCCCCGGGGAGTGCTCCTAGGAGATGGATGGACACGGAGCCCAAGCACCTGGGAAGCTCCTCCTCCTCCTCAACTCCAGCCCGCTGCAAGGATGAAGGATGGGGGTCCTGTCCAGGCTGTCCCTTGGCTTTCCACCATCCCAGTTCACAGCTCCATTCCCAGTTACAGCAGGAACCACCCCAGCACTTTAGGGACTCTCCCATTCCCTTCTCCTTCCTCTCCAAGGCTCCCTTCCCAGGGGATTTGCAGTCACCCCTTGGAATGTGCCCAGCAGGAGGGAAGTGTCCCTACCCCAGCTTTAGCAGCTGCCATTGGTCCCTTTACTGCTGTTGCCAAACCCTTTCCTTGCTCTGACAGGGATTCCAAGGAAAGCACCATCCAAATTCCATTCAGGGGCAGAGGGAGGAAAACAACCCCAGGGATGGATTTGTCACCAGGATTGACAGACATGGTGACACCCTGGGGCACCCTTGGCCACCTCAGGGCATTCCCTGCCTTCAGGGGGCCCCTCATTCCTTCACCAAAGCGAAAATGCCTCCAAACTCTTGATTCCCATAATCCCTCCCTCTCTCCAGACTCCACACAGCAGTTCCAGCTCCTAAAGTTGGGGTATTTAAGTTGGTTCCTATTAAACTGCACTGGGAACAGCCTGGTTGGGGTTGGGAGGGACCTCAGAGCTCACCCCATCCCACCCCTGCCATGGGCAGTGACACTTTCCACTGTCCCAGGTTACTCCAAGCTCCATCCAGCCTGGCCTTGGGCACTTCCAGGGATCCAGGGGCAGCCACAGCTGCTCTGGAAAATCCATTCCAGGACCTCACCACCCTCACAGGGAAGAATTTCCTTCCTAAAATCAAATCCAAATCTTCCCTCTTTCAGCCCGGAGCTGGAAAACTCCCTTGCCTTCGTATTTATTGACCTCAGCTTGTACCTGATCCCGCTGCCCCCATGGGCCAATCCCAATCCTGATGCTCCAGAGCTCCCAGAGCCAGCCCTGGAAGGGCCAGGTGGCCACAGGTGGGGGATGCTGTGGCCTCTTCCCAACCTCACCCACAATCCTGCAGTATTTTCCTTCCTGGCCCCAGCCATTGCCACTCAGCCCCCCCGAATTCCCAGATTCTGGGTCCCCATTCCCACATTCCCGTAGGATAGGAAGCACAGCTCTGGCTTTCAGGGTTTGGCTGTAACAATAAAGTTCTGTCACTCAGAATCTGTCCTGTCCTTGGTTTTCTCTCAGCCTCTGGAGCAGCAGCTCCCTCCCAGCAGGACTCACCTGGGGACCCGGCTGGGTCCTGGCAGCCAGGTGAGGCTGAAATCGCCTCCCAGGGATTGGAATGGTGAATGGCACATCCCCGGGAGGAGGGTGAATCCTTTAAACCCAAAATCATGGACAAAGACTCTCTAGACAAAGTTAGAAAGTGGTGAATCATTCAAGGGCAGGGGGCCAGAGGGGCAGACACAGGGTGGGATCCAAGGCCTTGGGACCAAATTTGGGAATAAGGGGAACACACTCAGCACTGCCCAGCTTCCCCTTCCCAAACTCCTCCTGCACCTCTCCAAAGGGGGATTCCTGCACACCTGGGCACCCATTTCCCTCAGCCCCTCATTCCTTTTGGTGCTCCTTTATGCCCACAGGGATTTCCCTGGAAGATCCAAACCGGAGCAGGTTCCCTGGGGTGCTGGAGGACCCAAATTTGGGAGCAGCTTTGCTGTTTGCTGCTCACCTGGGGGACTCTCTGCCCTTCCAGGGTCAGCTTCCCCTTCCCAAACTCCTCCTGCCCCTCTCCAAAGGGGGATTCCTGCACACCTGCGCAGGTCCATCCTGGGCACCCACATTTTCCTGCAGCCCTGCATTCCAGAGGTGCCCTTTTGGATCACAGGTGCCCCCTGTTCACCTGGGGGACTTCCCTGGGAGATCCAAAGGGCCCCCAAGGTGCCAGAGAACCCAAATTTGAGAGCTGCTCCCCAGGTCCAGGGCAGGGGATGGGAGGCAGAGGATGGGAAGGACATTCCAGACCAGAGGAGAAAGTTCAATGCAGTTTCCCAGCCTGGCAGGATGGGGAATGGGGGGCTCTGGGCAGTTTGCAGTAACTCCCAGTTGGGCAGGGTTGGTGCAGGGCTGCCTCTGGAGCCAGGAACCTGCAGAGCCCTTGGGAAAAGCCCTTGGGAAGAGCCCTTGGATAAAGCTCTTGGGGAAAAGCCCTTCCCAAGCAGAAGAACAAAAAAAATGGGCTCAGAGCAGCCCCATGGCCAGGACAGGAGCAGGGACAGGGCTGGGGCTGTCTGGGATGAGGCTGGAATGGGAGCCTGGGACACCCCAGCTGGGGCAACTCAGCGAGGGCTCAGCTGAGACTTTAATGCTGCTTTTCCTCCCTGACCTTGGATTTTTGGGGATCGTTTTGCTGTTTCTGAGCCTTCTCCACCCACGGGATTGGGAGAGATCCCTGAGGCCACAGCAGGGGATTAAAGTGTTGGTTGGAGATTTGGGATTTTGGCCGCACTCCCGGACTCAGGTCCCCGTTCTTGGACAGACCCAACCCAGCATTGCCCTGTCCCACTGCTCCCAGCCCCAGCTCCCTCAGAGGGCACCAGGGAATGGCTCCATCCAGCAGAATCCCTGCCCTCCATCGAGGGGAGCTGAGCTGAGCTCTGCCTGGGATGATCCTTGCCTTTTGGAGACCCATCCTGCCCCTCCACCACCCCCCCTCACTGGGACCCAGCCTCTTCCTCAGGGCAAATTCCCGTGGCTGTTCTCATCCCAGAGTCACAACCAGCCCCAATTCCAGCTGTAAATTCCCCAGGGAATTGCTGCAGGCTCCAGGCAGCACCATCAGCTCAGGACCCCCCCCAAAAAAATCCCCATCCCAGCCCTTCAAAAAAGGTCCTGGCTGCACCAGGTCCTGGTGTTGTCCAGGTCAGTGCTATCAATTCAGAATAATATACAGTGGATTTACCTTTATTCAAGGATAGAATGTGAAAAAAAGGGGAACACAGAAGGATGCAGTGATGAAGGGCAGCCCCAGCATTGTCATGTCCCTGTTTTTGGCTCAAAATGCCACAAAATCCCACCTGGCTGCTTCCTAAAAATTCCTAAGGACTGAAAGGATCCTGAATTTGATTGGGGGGTGGTGGGGGAAGTTGATGGAAAAGCTCAGGTTTTATGGAAAAAGAGATGCTTGTGTGATGGTTAGAGGGTGCTTGGGGGGTTGGAGGCATTGCTCACCTTCTCAGATCCATGTAAAAAATGGATCGGGGCCTGAGGATTGCTGGGAAAACAGGGTTAGGGATTGTAATTAACTAATAAATGGGATAATTAACAGCATTCCCCCCTTTATGGCTCAATAATCGTGTTTTATGGCCAGTTCCAGTGATCCCCTTTAATCACTCACCCCTGCGGTGCCAGGGCACATTCCCCACAGGGATTTGGGAGCTGCTGAGGGCATCTGTGGGATCAGGGGATAATTATCCCTCTTATCTGCCAGGCCCCTCAGGAATCCACGGCCCAGCCCCCTCCAGGCCGTGCCGTATCAGCTCCAGCCTCTCAAGGGTGATCCCATCCCTGCCTGGAGCCTCTGCAGGCCCGGACACGTCAGATGTCCTGGAGGTCTCGGACGTGAGACATCCCAGGGGCGAATCCTGGACTGCGGGGATGTCGGGATCAGCAGCAGGGAATGAGCCCCGGTGGCCGGAGCACGGGGGGGAAGCGGCTCCGGGAGCGCAACTCCCCGATGGGCGCACCTGGAGCGGCCAGGAGTGAGTTCGGGGCTCCTGGAGAACATCCAGGGATCTCCACACCAGGAGCGAGCTCCGGGCTCCGGGAGCGCACCCCGGGATCTCCACACCTGGAGCGAGCTCCGGGCTCCCTCTGCCGGGCAGGTGACGCCGCTGCAGCGCCTCCCCAAATCCCCAAAAATCCCCGGCCGCCTTCCACAGGCCCGGCCTGCAGAGAAAGGGAAACGGCTCCGGAGGAGCGAGGAACAGGGGATCCTACAGGGAAAGCTAAAGCGAACCCTACAGGAATCATACAAGGAATCATACAGGGAATCCTACAGGGAATCATACAGGGAATCCTACAGGGAATCATACAGGGGATCCTCCTACAGGGAATCATACAGGGGATCTAAAGGAGACCCTACAGGCAATCCTACAGGGA